TCAGTCAAAATACAAGCCTCTAGCACCAGAAGCTGTGATCACTAGAGAAGAGTTCGACCTGATGAAGCACAAGTTCGATGAGCAGGTCGAGGCGCTTAAGGCCAGGTGCGAGAAGAAAGAATGTTCGTTCGACGATGACGACTTGGGAGAATTGCCATTCACCCCGGACATCCTGGAGGCTCCAATCCCTCCGAAGTTCAAAACTCCCACGATGAAGCCTTATGATGGGTCTAAGGACCCTAAAGACTATGTTGAGGTCTTCGAAGGCCTCATGGACTTTCAAGCGGCAACAGATGCAATCAAGTGCCGCGCCTTCCAGATCGCGCTCACCGGTAGCGCGCGCCTGTGGTATCGAAGACTGCCGGCTAGGTCGATCTCGACCTACTCTCAGCTGAGAAAGGAGTTCATCAGTCAGTTCTCTTCTTGGCATTATGACAGAAAGACAGCGACTCATCTCGCCACTATCAGGCAGAAGGAAAGAGAGACGCTGAGAGAGTATGTCACGAGGTTCCAGGAGGAGCAGTTGAAGGTCGCGCACTGCTCCGATGATTCGGCCATGTGCTACTTCCTCACCAGCCTGGCCGATGAGACCTTAACAGTAAAACTTGGAGAGGAGGCTCCAACCACCTTCGTCGAAGTCCTACAGAAGGCGAAGAAGGTCATTGATGGGCAAGAGCTCCTCCGAACCAAAACTGGCCGACCTGAGAAGCAGATCGACCAGAAGAAGTTGAGCCAAGAGAAGAGGAAGGCTGATTCCAAGTCTAGAGATAAGGGATCGTCCTCTTCCGCCAGCAGAACAGAGTACCGTAGGTTGGAGAGCGGCCCCAGCCGGAGCCGACCTTATGAGCGGTATACTTCAAGCACCATTCCCATCTCCGAGATACTCACGAACATCGAAGAGAGCGGGATGGAAAAGCTCCTCAAGCGACCTGAGAAGCTCCGAGGAGACCTAGAAAAGCGCAACAAAGAGAAATACTGTCGTTTTCATCGTGATCACGGCCATAACACGACAAGTTGCTGGGAGCTGAAGCGCCAGATTGAAGATCTCATTCAAGATGGTTACTTCAAAAAGTTCGTGGGAAAACCGAGGTCTAACTCGGTCGAAAAGAAAGAAGAGAGGAAGCGTTCAAGAACGCCGCCTCGACGAGAGGACCGACCTGCGGTCATCAACACTATTTTCGGAGGTCCGAATGGGGGCCAGTCCGGAAACAAGAGGAAGGAGCTAGCTCGCGAGGCCAGGCGCGAGGTATGCATCATTAGGGAGCACAAACCTACTTGCTCCATCACTTTCGGCGATGCCGACCTGGAGGGGGTCCACTTGCCCCACAACGATGCACTGGTGATCGCCTCTCTGATCGATCATGACCTGGTCAGAAGAGTGTTGATAGATGGAGGCACGTCTGCCAACATCTTGTCCCTCTCAACATATCTTGCTTTGGGGTGGACTAGGTCTCAACTGAAGAAGAGTCCAACACCCTTGGTTGGATTCTCTGGAGAATCGGTCTCCCCAGAAGGGTGCATTGACCTGCCGGTAACTATCGGGCAAGATGCTACCCAAGTAACGCAGATGGCCGAGTTCGTGGTAATCGACGGCAGATCGGCCTACAACGCCATTTTTGGGAGACCCATTATCCACTCATTTCGGGCTGTCCCCTCCACATTGCATCAAGTCTTGAAGTACTCAACCCCGAATGAAGTGGGCATGGTCCGAGGTGAGCAAAAAACCTCGCGGGAGTGTTATGCATCCGCGCTTAAAGGGTCGGCGGTATGCGCCCTGGAAGAGCAAACCAATCGTGGCAAGCTGCAAGAGTCCGAAGCAGACCTGCCAAAGGAAGGTAAAAGGCAATTCCCCCCACCAACAGAAGAACTCGAGCTTGTTCCTTTACTCAGCCCTGAAAGACAAGTAAGCATAGGAACCAAGCTGGGGACCACTGACAGAGAAGAACTGATCAACTTCCTCAGGTCTAACTCGGACGTCTTCGCATGGTCTCACGACGACATGTCTGGCATCGACCCAAAGATTATGGTGCATCGCCTTAACATAGACCCATCATTCCGACTTGTAAAGCAAAAAAAGAAGACCTGTAAATAGAGAGAGGAGTGATGTAATTGTTGAGGAAGTAAACAAACTCTTAAAAGCTGAATATATACCAGAAATTCTGTATCCTGAGTGGCTCTCTAATGTAGTATTAGTTAAAAAGTCCAACGGGAAGTGGAGGATGTGCGTGGACTTCACTAATTTAAACAAGGCATGCCCAAAAGATTCCTTCCCTCTTCCGAGGATCGACCAGCTCGTGGACGCAACAGCCGGGCACGAGCTACTCACCTTCATGAATGCCTACTCTGGATACAATCAAATTAAAATGCATTTGCCAGACCAAGATCATACCACGTTCATAACAGACCAAGGTCTGTACTGCTACAAGGTGATGCCTTTTGGCCTAAAGAATGCGGGTGCGACCTACCAAAGGATGGTGAACAAAATGTTCGCCAAGCAGATCG